TGATAGCTATTATGATTGTATGTTGCCCTCCTAACATACTTTGCAGGAAGAAATTACTGGCATATTAGGAAAGCTGTCAATAAAAAAAAAAAAAAAGGAAAGCTGTCAATAGCAGAAGAGCTGGGCAGCCCGGGGGGCTCAGCCGTTTAGCGCCGCCTTCAGCCCAGGGCCTGATCCTGGAGACCCGGGATCGAGTCCCACGTCGGGCTCCCTGCATGGAGCCTGCTTCTCCCTCTGCCTGTGTCTCTGCCTCTCTCTCTCTGTCTCTCATGAATAAATAAATAAAATCTTAAAAAAAAAAAGATTTTTAAAAAAAATAGCAGAAGAGCTAAGCAGACAAAGGAGCCAAGCTGCCTAGGTTTGGGGCAAGCCCCTAAACTTCTCTGCCTTAGTTTCCTCATCCAAAATGAGGACAATATGTCCACTCCCAGGCAATGTGAGCAGGGCACTGGGAACAGGGCCTGGCGCAGCGAATGTTCTACATAGGCGTCAGCTGCTATTTTTTTTTAGTCACGTAAAATATTTGCCCTTCGGTGAGTTCTCCCACGTTTTCTCCTATCATTAGTGACTAAAGAAAAACTGCCCAGTTCTTTTTTCCATTATTCCACTTCCCATTTCTATTTCCGGCCTTATCTCACTGGCTATCATGTCAGCCCTTCTTGAGAGTGGTAAAAACCACGACGAATATTTGAGAAGCACTGGAGGGTATTATGCTGAGTGAATTAAGTCAATCGGAGAAGGACAATCATTATATGGTTTCACTCATACATGGAATATAAAAAATAGTGAAAGGGATCATAGGGGAAGGAGAGGAACTGAGTGGGAAATATCAGAGAGGGAGACAGAACATGAGAGACTCCTAACTCTGGGAAACGAACAAGGGGTGGTGGAAGGGGAGGTTGGTGGGGTGTGGGGGTGACTGGGTGACAGGCACTGAGGGGGACAGGATGAGCCCTGGGTGTTATGCTATATGTTAGCAAATTGAGCTCCAATAAAAAAAATATACAAAAAAAGAAAAAGAAAGAAAGCTGCGTTTAAAAAAAAAAAGAAATGAAAAATTAAATAAAAAGAATATTTGAGCGGTTCCGAGAAGGATGGATGTGAGATGAGAGTAGCTAAAAGTAGAGCCCTGGCTGGGACACTGGTATAATAATTTAGCTGTGGTGTGAAGATGGCACGACTGTGGATAAAATCCTAGAACCCCATGGGTTGTCACAAGTTAGTTCCAAAATACTTTACAATTTGTTACTGTTTATAAAAGTGTTTTTAGTTCACAAAGCAAACTTACACACCTGGCCTTATTTTCATCTTCACAAAATTCAGCTGCACTGAAGCTTCAGATATGAGGCATGGCCATGTAGTGTTTAAGACAATGGCTCTGGGGAACCTGAGTGGCTCAATGGTTGAGCGTCTGCCCTCAGCTCAGGTCATGGTCCCGGGGTCCTGGGATCAAGTCCCGCATAGGGCTCCCCGCTCAGTAGGGAGTCCCGCTCCTTCCTCTCTCCTTTTTGCTCATTCTCTCTCTCTCTCTCTAATAATAAAATCTTAAAAAAAAAAAAAAAAGACAGTGGCTCTAGAGTTTGGCTTCCTAGCAGTGTGACCATCAGTTACTTAATCCCTCCACACCCCAGCTTCTTCATCTATGGGGGGCAATAATATGATTCCCGTCATTGGCTTGCTTGGCAATGTGGTAAGTCCCCTATAAAGATTAGCTGTTATCATGAATATCCAGGAACTTTACGGCTTGCAAAGCTCTCTCCCGGTTTCACCTGACATTCTTTGCTACTCACACGCTTGTCACACATCCCCTTGCCATTCTCGCTGCAGTTCAAGCATGGGCTGTCCTGTTACCGCGTACCTCATGAATCTGCCTCCATCTTAAAACCCAGGCTCAGTCAGGGGACTGATGCTCAGCACCCTCTTCAAGAGGGGAAAGCTGCCAACCTGAGTGAGTCGCCCTGTTGGGCCCTGGAGGCAGGCTATGAGCTTGGTTCCCCATGCCCTGGGCACCCACGGCAGCCCCTCCAGAGTGGCCATACAGCTTACACTGCTATTCAGTCATTAGTCCAGGGCAACAGGCCAGAGCCAGACCTGCCCTGAGCAACCAGCATACGTGGCCATCTGGCCTAGGAGAGATCCTTTTTCTCCCCACACCGAAGTCTTGGTCTCATGTGGTCTAGCCTGGCCCTGGCCCTCTGCCCTGCTGCCAGGAGGCCCACCAACGGGCCCCCACAGACAGGACTTCACCATGGATTCTGCTCCTGGGCCTGTTTTCCTCATCCATGCCACCGAGACACCCACAGAGGAAGGAAGACAACGGTGACCAGAAGGCAGAAATGAGCACTAGGGACATGTTGGGCACAGCTGCCAGGGCTCTTGAGCAGATGGGGTCCCAGGGGGAGGCTGCTGGACCCCTGGGGAAGCAGACTTCCAGGAGATAGAGGTTTGGAGGAGCAGTCTGAAGGGGTGTCAGAGGAAGAGCAGGATGTGACAGGGAAGAGAAGGGACAGTGTGTGAGAGGTAGCCGTGGAGACAGACTAGGCCTGGGGCAGGGCCGGGAGCAGCTACTTGGCTGCAGTGGAAAATCCCAACCAGAGGCAAGAACTCCATTCAACAAATATTTATGGCACCTACTCAGTACAAAGAAGAGGGCCAGGCTGAGTCACTGGGCACAGCCCTGTCCTGGCACCACAGTGTTGCTGACAGAGGGACATTCAGAGTCCATGAGCAGATGAGGGGCTTAGGGGGGTACAGGAGCCAGGGCAGGTGCCAAGGACCACCTGGGCTTGAGACACCTCAGCCCTGTGGGGACCTGAGCTCAGCAGCCCACGGAGGCCCTGCCCTCTGGCAAAAACTGCTGAGTCACAGACCACTCAGGATGTTGCCCAGGCTAAGCTAGGGTGACCCCTGGGGCCAGGGGACCTGAACCTGCTGCCATAGTAGAGCATGGGGAGAGCAGGGCTAGGGAGAGGCATCACAGGCACTAAGAGCTAAAAAATCCTTTTCCTCCCCGCCTCCAGCCTTACCTCCTAGGCAGGCCCAAAGCTGAGATGCTGAGACCGGGGTGTGGGGCCAGCGTAGGGAATGTGGGGCCGTGCGGGAAGTGAAGGCTCCACCTGCCCCGTTCATCTGTTTTTCACCCTGTCCTTCACCCACATCCTCACATGTCCACCCACTTCTGGCCTCACCCGCTCGCTGCCCCATTGTCCTATTTTGTCCTGTGGCAACAGGGTCCAGTCCCACTGGTCAGGGTGTGCTGGGTGTACTGGCCCTACCCTCTCCTGCCTCACTGTCTCAGTGTCTAGGATTAGCTCTAGAGCATTGTGCAATTCCAGATTCAGGCTTTGGTCTTAGTGCCTCCAGGATCACTCGAGCAGGCCCCCAAGATGTGGGGTGGGCAGCCGTGGATCCCAAACCAAGCAACTCCACAGAGCGGGCAGTAAAGGTCAGAAAGCTCACTGCCTGCAGGAATGCTAACCTGCCTGGTAAGAGCAGCCTTCTGTGGCCATTCCCCAGGAAATGGCACCCAAAAAGGTCAACGCAGAAGTGGGGTTGCTGGTGAGGTGCTATCCCAAGGACGCCTTGCATTTGCAGAGTTATTTGCAGCCCGTGCAGCACTGTCACATATGATCCTTACAGAAACCCCAGCATCACAGTGATCTCAATGCACAGAGGAGGAAACTGAGGGTGTTAAGTGGCTTGGCAGCTGCTAGGTGTCAGAACCTGCCCTTGAACCCAGCCGGTCTGATTTCAGGTCCCGCGGTCTTTCCACTGGACCAATGTCAAGGTTCTTTCACTCTTCACCCAACATCGAATCCAGAGGGTGGCTTGGTGATCGCTGCCCCATCTAAGGCAACCCCCCCCTGCTCATCCAGTCCTTGTGATCTCCACACCCCTGTGCCTCTGCCCAGTCATCCTGGCCCCAGGGTGCCACCTACCCTTTGTCCGGAGGTCCCCTTCCTGTCAATCACTACTCTTCCTTTAAGAAATGCTACCCTCTCTGTGAAGGCTCCCTGTATGACCCAGCACAGCCAACCCCTCTCTCTGGGCACCCCCATCTCTCTGCCCCCGGACCTCCACATGCTTGGATGTGGACTCACTCAATAGCAATTAACCATTCTGCCCATCAGACAAAGAACACTATTCCTTTTTGTCCTGGGTGGCTGTTTGTGGTTGGAAGGGAGGAAGGAAGGAAGGAAATGAGGAAGGAAGGAAGGCCAGCCAGAGACTGGTCTTGTGTCATTAAGAAAGAGCTTACATCAGGAGGGCTGTCATCTTGAGAAGCTGGAGAAGCTGAGGCCAGGAGAAAAAATGACTTCACTGGCCCTTGAGCCACCCGAGGGTCACATGCCCTTCTCCTTTCAGCCTCCCCCGTGAGGACATTACTCAACAACCCCTCCGTTCCACCCACTCTTCATTGCTTTACTCAAGAAAGGGACAGCTCATGGAGTCATCTTTCCTGCCTCTGTCTTTTTTTCCCCCCACTGTCCATGGAGTCTCCCTAGAGCCACCTCTGCCTTCACTGCTATCCCTGGTCCCTGGTCCCAGAGAAGCCCCCTGGGTTCTCCCTCAGACCTCCCTCCCCTCCAAGGGAGCCAAGGGAGCAGCCAAGCGTAGATCAATGACTCACTCTGACCTTTGGGGCCTCGAGCTTGGTGAGGACAATGGCACCAGCAGTCCTCCTGCCCTCCCTCCCTTGAGCCAAGGGCCAACAATCTAGCCCCGTTTCCTGTAGAGCCAGCCCATTTCCATGTGGGACCCTCGAAACATAGTTCCAGGAAGCCCCGAGGGAAGGCCATCCCAGCTAGCTGTCCAGACTGCTGGGTATCAGAGCCGTGGTCTGGACAGCTTCCGACAGCCCCTAACCCCATGACAGCACCCTCATGCTCCCCGCCCTCAGCCTGTCAGGATGCTTGCTACCATTAGAATCCATTCCCCTGATGGAACCCAGCCTTTAGCTACCTTCTTGGGAAGCCCGCTGATCTTGGTGGGTTACTTACCTCTCTCGGACAAGCCAGCTGGCAGAGGTGGGGCCTCTTGGAAAAGCAAGTCTGGAGGAGGACGCTGGCCCCTGGGCCTGGCATCAGGACCAAGAGTGCCCCGGGATTCCCAGGCTAGGAGAGCTGGAGCCAAGGGTAGGTTTACCTGAGAGAGAAAGGAAATGAAGGCTTGCCCTGCGTCCCGATGCCAGGGCCTGGGGGAGGGGCTGGGCGTGACAGGGTTGGCACTGCAGGTGTTAACCGGGGCTGCCCAGCCTCCTGCCGAAAGCAGCTCAGGAGTGCCTCCTGGGTGTAAACAGAGGTGGGAGGCCAGGCTGGCCTGGTACCTCTCAAGCCACAGCCTCCCTGGGGCAGCCCCTCACCCCTCCCTCACACCCAGCCCTTCCTTGAATCCCTGCCCGAATCCCAGAGGCCGCCAGCCCTGGCACAGGGCACAGCCAACTGACTCATCTGCAAAACCACAGCCTCCTCAACCCCACTCACTCCAGCTGCATCTGGTTCTCTTCGAGCCTGCTCCCCTCTCCGGCCAAGCCGGCCCCACTCCAGCTAAGGGGAGGATGACCTGTTGGCCCAGGCCGGGACCGTCGCACTACTGAACCAGTTGTTCAGGCCGCTCATCATAGACTCCTCCATGAAGCGTGTGGTGTCGCGCTCTTCCTGGCACCTCCCGACCACTGTCCCCAAGCCACTCCTGCAGCCAAAGGGGGCTTTTCCAAAAGCGAGCATGACCACCTCGCAAGCGGGCTTCAAGGCTTCGGCGGCTGGGTGGTCCCTGGCTGGAAGGCCTTGCCCTGCAGCCGAGCATTCAGGCCCCCACAGGCACGTAGCCCAGGTGCGTCTCCCTCTCATTCTTCCTCACGCCATCTACCCAGAGGACTCCCGATTCCCTGAAAGGCTCTGCTCTGCCACCCTGCCTTTGTCCCTGCGATTCCCACCCCCGGGATGCCTTGCCTTTCATGCCTGGTCTGGCTTTTTCATCCTTAAGGGACCTGCCTTCTAGGCCTTTCCTGACCTCCCAGAAAGGTGTGATAGTTCCTACCACCCCAGGACGCCTGGGTGGCCCCATGGTCAAGCATCTGCCCTCCCTGCTGTGATCCCGGGGTTCTGAGATCATGTCCCACATCCACTCCCCGCAGGGAGCTTGCTTCTCCCTTTGCCTGTGTCTCTACCTCTCTCTTGCATGAATAAATAAAATCTTTTATCTAAATAAATAATTTTTAAAAATTCCTACTACACTGCTCATAGGTGCCGGCAAGATCCCTGTCCCAACAGTCTCAGGAGCTCAGCAGGCCTTGCGTACAGACTGCAGGATCCCAGCAGCCCACCACTGCCCGCCGCGGCCCACCACCACGCTGGTGGTAGTGAGGCAACAGAGACAAGGCTGAGGGAGGTCATGAGGCCTGCTGGCTGAGTGGACACCTGACCTGGATGCCCTACAGATTTAACCCTCGAAGAGAAGAACAGGAAGCCTCTGGATAGTGTCTGGGGGCCATCCTCATTAGCTCCAGCCCTGACATTCCTGCCTCCTCACCCAACCCTACCCTGGCTGGGGTCACCAAGCAGGCAACAACCTGGAGGCGCCTAGTCTCCAAGGGAGACCTCTGTACCCACCCCCAAGACTTTTCTAACCCTCTCCCCCGCTGCCCCCCGCCCCTCTTTTAGAGCTGGTTCCCCACGGTCTGAGGCTTGTGACCCCCTGGGGGCCCTGGGGATGAGAAAAGTAGTCTGATGACCCCAAGGCCAAGAAGGAGAAAAACCACACAAAAATGTCTGGTGGGATGAGGGATTAGGGGGCACCAGTTATGCTAAGAATGAAGACCCTGGAGTAAACTCACCTGATTCAAATGCTGCTACTGGCCCTGGGTGAGACCTCCCTGAGTCCTGCTCTCCTCGTCTGTAGAATGGGCTAACAACCGTGCCTATATAGTGCTCAGCACAGAGCTAGTGAATGGCGGCCACACCAGACCTGGGACAGCTGCCCCCTTGCCTGGGAGACTGTGGGCAGCCCCTTCCCCTTTGGGCTGCAGCCATTTGGCTGTACGAAAAGGATGGATGGGCCCCCACACCTCATAGGTCTGTGGCAGAATCAGTGGGTTCATCAGTAGGAGGTGTCCCCATGGACACACACGGACTCTGTGCTCAGGCCCCCAGGGCCAGAAATCACATGCCCCTCCACCCCCCGACCAGCAGCATTGAAGACAAGACTATAAGGCCACACAGCCAGCCCACCGCGCATCCCTTGAACACTCTCCGCATTGCCCAGGCACTCGGGCTCCTAGCTCTTGACCTTTCCCCTATCTTGCTGTGTCCTCCCTTCCCTTGGCATCCCCAAAGGCTCGTTCCTTCCCCTGCTGGGCACACTTGCCTGCCTTAACCTACTTCTGGCTGGTGAAGCTGGGGCTGCCAAGGCCACAATACCTTGATGTCTTATGGTCTTGCGAAGGCCAAAGTGTTTGATGACCATCTGAGTTCCTAAAAGCCATGGTCTAGTGCTGGGGTTGGGGAGCTCTTCTCCCGTATACCCACCACATCTCCACCACCCATGGTCCTCCCTGCAGGTGCCACCCTCAGCAAAGCTGTATCAGAGGCTCAGCTCTGCACTTACTAGCTGGGTGGACTCTGTAAAATGAGGATATCTCCCTCGAGGATGGATGCTACGGTGCTTTACCAGCAGTAGGGAGGCCGATCTCTCACCCTGCTACAAGGAGAGAAGGGGAATCTATCCTCCCTGTGCTCAGAACCAGTTGAACTGAGCTGCCAGCCCTGCCTAAGAGGACAGAACAGAGCCAGGCAGCAGGGGACTAAGTGCCCAAACAGAGGTCATAAAGTGAAGACAACACTGGGAGCTCTTGTCCCAAAAGGCAGACCCGAGAAGATACAATCTTTTAATTACATGCTCAGGCTTCCTGGGCTGCCAGCCAGGGTACACCCAGCCCTCGGCCTCCTCCACAGGCCCAGCAGAAACACTGCCTCCCTCTGCCCTGACCCTCTCTGCAGAAAGAGGGGATCAGGGCCCCTGAGACAGAGGAAAGGAGGCAGCAGACTCAGCAGAGGCTGGACTTGAGCTCCTGTCTGAGGAGTGGGTGGAGGTGAGGGACTGCTGTGGGGTCCAGATCAATTCAGGACTCCCCCTCATAACACACCCACTCATGCCCTGCCAAGTCCTGGGTGGGGTAGGGGGGTGAGAACAGCAGCAATCCTGCCCTACCACCCTACCCCCTGCCCCTGGGACATTCAAACCCTCTGGTCAGGCTTCCCTGGAGGCCAGTTCCTTAGCCAGGCAGGTTACAAAAGCATTAAGCAGCCCTGTGGACAGACGAGCAGAGAGGGGTGGGTGCTGCTACGTTAGACCGGGAGCCCCTCCTCTCCTGCCCAAAGTACTTGCAATGTTTGTTCAATGTGCTAGTGTTGTTGGGCAAAAACATGGGTTTCCTTCCGCCTCCGAAGGATCCTGGCACCAATGCCAAGAGCCCCACCTGTCTCCCATGGGCCCCACAGGGGAGGGGCTCTGCCCTTGCTGGGCAAGGCAGTGTCTCTGTAAGTCCAACAAGCCTGGGATGAGTATTTTTCTAACCACAAAGGAACAGAATCTTAGCCAGAGGGTATGGGTGGGCAGGAGGGGCAGACGGTGAGGGTTGGATTTGGCTGCTTAGGCCTTGGTGCCTGCCTCTGAGGAAGCCTGGATTTGTAAAGCAGTTAGGCGTTTACAAAGGGCTTTTACATACCAAATGCATCTGATCCCTTGGCTTACAGAGGGGAAGTCTGGGATCCAGAGAGAGGACTACCTGGGAGAGCGAGGAGGAGGCCAGGTCTCTTCACTCCAAGTTCTAGGCTATGCTCGTCTCAACTAGCCAGACCAGACCAGCACAGATGCAGCCAGAGTGAGTGCCAGTCCTCTGCACCCCAGGGCAAGGGGGAGGGGGCCTCCTGCCCCCCTCCTCAGCAAAGGGAGAAGGAGGAGGCTGCTTGGCTCCCCTTCTGGTCTTAGTACCCACAGCCATCTCAAAGCACCCAGTGTTTTTACCCACCCACCTGTCAGGATAGCATGAGCAGGAGGAAGCCAGGTTTGCCCCATGCCCTGACCTAGAGACCTTACACTGGCTTCTCCTGGGCACCCACCAGAGGCCTGTCCCCAGAAGGGAAAGGATCACTCCCCACCCTGCTCACAATCACACCTTTGCAAAGGCTGCAGCAGGAAGACAAGGTGGATGGCAGGAGGGGAGCGCTGGCTGGGGAAAGCCTCTCTAGGCCACCGCAGCCCCAACCTGGAGAGAGCCCATGGCTCCCCTGGTGGGGAGGCCCCAGTACCAGCCTTGGTCCCTGCCCACGACAGCTCACTTTGCACGGAGGAAAGATCTTAGCCACCAGCCCGCTCCCTGGAGCCACCCCACTCCAGCCAGCTAACACACACTGTGGGAGGTAAGAGCCCTTACACACTGCAGCCCTTCCACAGGGGTTCAAACCCCAGATCAGCCACCCGTTAGCTGTGTGACTTTGGGCAAGCTTTAAACCTCTCTGTTTTCTCATCTATAAAATGAGAATAATACAGTACCTGCCCCATAGGATAAGTCCTTGGAAGTATATGAGTTAATTCAAGTAGGGTGTTCAGGACAGTGCCTGACACATCGTAGAACTACATAAGTGGTTTAATATTACAGTTGACACTTGAACAATGTGGGGCCAGGGGTGCTGACCTCCAGTGCAGTAAAAAAATCCATGTACAACTTCTGACTCCCCCAAAAACTTAACTACAAACAGCTTCCTATTGACCAGAAGCCTTACTGATAACACAGTCGACTAACACATTTTGTATGCTTTGTGTATTCTATACCGCATCCTCAGAATAAAACAAAGTAAGCTAGCAAAAAGAAAACGTTCTTAGGAAAAATCACAAGGGAAAAAATATGTTTATGGTTCTGTACTGCATTTTTTCCCAAAAATCTGCATGTAGGTGGACCCATGCAGTTCAAATTTGTTGTTCGAGGGTCAGCTGTACTATTATTGTTCTTATTATTTTCTGAGCCAAGAGACACTATGGATATCAGAGCACGCAAAAGCCCAAGCCCTAGGGGAGGTTCCGTAGGAGGTGAGGAGGAGGCCTGTTATGCAAGGGAC